GTCTCGAGCTTCCCTAAGCTGGCACGTCTTGTTGGCTAGATGCATCATGTTTATCATTTCATGTAATCCCCACAGCTCATACAGGGTTAGGAACAGGATATGTTCCCACCATTTCATAATCAGAAGAGTATCATCTCTCTATTGAAAAAAAGTTGCTCCTACTCTGAAGGCTGCTCTCTTTCAACAGAACAAAGCTTAAAAGCAAACCTCAAGAGGTTCAAACTGTTATTAGAATCATGGCTGGTCCTAAGGAAAAAAATCACTTTTCTATTCATTGGAAAAAAGACGTTATTTTTTCTGATTACATAAATTATAAAAGCTCATAGAACTTCTCAACAGCCACTAAGACTCCTCATGAATTAAAACTGGGCCCTCTGGGGTTCCCTTGAGATCAGTCTGTTCCACTGCTTCCTGTTCAAGGTCTTTGGGCTTCTCTCTTTAGAGCAGGGATATCCAACCTGGGGACCACAAACCTCAGGCCACACCTCATCTCATTTCATCCTTACAATCTTCCTCTGAGATAAGACTAGGACTATTCCATTTTTCAAATGAGAAAGTGTTTAGAAATGTTCATAAACTTACCCAAGTTTTCATAGCTGACATTAAGTGGAGCCAGGATTCTTGCTACGTGAATCAAAAGATAGGACCGTTATTCTAGAGAATGCTATGCCTTACTTTGCAGAGTCACTAAGTCTCAGGGTGATGTGAGGCTTTGCTCAGGGGCCTTTCCTGAGATTTTAGGAGATAGTGACACAGCAGCTCTTTGCCTGGCTCTTGGAACATTGTCACTTTGAAAATAGTTTTTAAGACTTGAGTTCTGATTCATTCAATAAAAATGTTTATTATGAACTACAACAGACTTACAAAAAAGGTTTGCAATTAATTCTTTCCATGCTTTTCTGCCACTGCAGATAGAATTGATCTAATCTGGACATTCTTTATTGAACTTCTCTGCTCAAGCATGGGGTACCTTTTTTGTGGATCTCTTGGCTGGCATACTTTGAACCACTTTTGGAGGTTGGGGAGGCTGCTTACAATAAAAGGTGTGGGTTTATAATCTATGGGAAAAGGGCGTGTGTACACTCAGGAGTCTGTGCCTGAGCAGGGGACATTACACAAGTTCTCTGTAAATGGACCAGACTTGGTATCCTGGAGTTTGAGTCCAAAAAGGGCAAATAAAGCATGGAGGATCATACTTTTGTCCCTGTCAGTCATTAAAGCTGAGGCCCTGTGACATGCTGAACTGCAAAGAGGGCATGAGTCAGCCAGGCCTGTGACTCGATACATAGGGATGAGGGCAGGCTCTTCCTGACAATTTCCTTTCTATAAAACTTAAGATAAAGAAGTGCTCAGATATTAGAAGGAATGTGATTGATTGGCAAGGAAAAATCTGCTTGATGGCCTTAAGCCTACAGGTTTATGGGAAAATAATTTAACTCAGAATTTGAATTATCATAATAGTGGCATCCTCATTTAATATCTTAATCTTTTAGAGACTAGAGCATATCTGTATGTTAGGACAAATGCAGGGTTGTGGACATTGAGCTTGTTTCGTGAGTTTCTGCTTTCTGTGATAGGTGAATTAATTTTGTTCTATCTGAGGGTAGATCTAGCCCTATCACTGGTTAGTAAATATGCGGACCTAGCCAGGTGAGAGATCTGTCCAGGCCAGAGTGGGATTTCTAAGGACCAATGGTGATGATAAGGAAATGGGGGTGCGAGTGTGAAGAAGATACCTGCAAAACTAAGCAGGAGGTGACATGAAGTCAGACGACTCTGAGAACTTTTCACCTGGAGGCAAGAGAGGACTCAACGACGGCTAGATGACACCCAGAGAAGATCAGGAAGTAGCCAAAGCTGGAAGAAACTGATGATCTCAAACACACCCGACTGTAGAGCCTTCCTAAACCTCTGTCATTTCAGACTAAATATCTTGATCCAGCACCCTGTTTCATCTCATACCATATACCTGTGCCCACCATGCTTCACCTGCACTAACTTCCTTCTGTTCCCCCAACTTGCCAAGCTCATTCCTACCTCAGGACCTTTGCACATGTTGCTCTACCTTGAATGCCTCCGCTCCCCCATCCCTTATTTACATGATTGGTTTATTTGTAGTCAGGTCTCAGTCAAATGTCACTTTTGTCTATCCTGTCTGAAGTAACCCTTAGCCAGTCATATTCTGTTACATTACCCCGTTTTAATGTCTTTACAGTACTTGTCACTCACTGAAATCATCTTTTTTGTTGATTTAGAGTCTGAGTCCTCTGACTAGAATGTAAACACTATAAGAGTAGGACCTTTTTCTTTTAATTGGTCATTACATCCCCACTGCCTAGAATAGGGCCAGGCTTATAGCCAGGGTTCAATAAATGTCTGTCCAATGAGTGAGTAAATAAATGAAGGAATGCATGAAATCTGACACAGTTGGAGAAAGAGAACTAACCAAGTCCTATATATCGGCCAAACGCTCTAATTAAATGCTGGTTAATAACAAGAATAAGGAGTCTGTGCTTTGGTGTATGTGTGTATTTCTAAGATTTTCTATTGTTATAAATGCTTGACATTAACTAAGGCTTTAATTAATATTTGTTATATAAAATTTAATGAAAGATCAGTTTTACAGATTCTACCCTTGTTTCAGCTGAATTAAACTGGTCCTTTGTGGGGTGGGTAATCCAGGTGGCTCACAAGACAAGGCAAGATTTGAGGTGACAGGTCATACCCATAGGAAAGCTGAGAAATACTCAACTTTTGAGGAATCTTTTAAGTTAAAAGACACTGAATTTATTAGTAAATCATCTTTTAAAAGTAAACCTTGAGTTGATATAGAAGTAAAATAAAAATGAGCATGTGTTTAGTTATTAATTTAATTTAATAGTTTCATAACTCAGCCAAAAGGCAAATTTTTAAATTCTCATGGAAAAATTCAACATCTGGGCTTTGGTGTAATGAGTGGGAGCTGTATTTAGCACAAGATTGGAATGCGACCTTCCATGATTATAGCTGAGACCAAAGGCTGTAGCCGGAGTGAAGGTCAGCTAGAGCGCACTAGACAATGACATGACCTTTCTGGGCTTCAGTCTCCTCCTTGGAAAATGAGGAGGCTGAAAGGGTAATGGGGTTAAAATGAACAACCCCGAACAACCCCATTGCTGGATTCTTGTCTTTATTACCTGTGTCCATTTCCTTACACTGAATCCATGTATACACCGTGGTTATCAGAAGCTGTTTGTTAATACACTTTATATTTTGGAAAGAGACTTGAAATATGGATCAAATTTAGATCATCCCCTCCTTTCACCATCTCCCATATCACACCCACATCACGAGCTTTTTGTCAGCCTCTTTTATTTCTATCACATTTATTTAGGAGTTTTCTTCCCTTGCTTGGGAGAGACTATTTACATTGAAGGAAAAAAAGGCTTCTGCTCAAGTCTCCATGGTAGGCATTTTCAAAACAATTAAGCAATATAAATTTTGCTAAGTATTTCTCCTAAATGCTAAAGAATTAGACCAAATTATTCTCAATTGATTATTTTTTAAAATTTTGCTGCATAGTTATACAATTTTTTAATATGTTACATGTCAGCTAATTAGTGCATTACTATCCCTTTGTATTTAATGTTTAGAGTATGTTATTCACATTTTATAGATGGATCAGAATCTCATCATTTTATATGATAAAACTTTATAGTTTATATGCTTTTTTGAAATATAGATATTCAGAAGAGATATAAGATATCAAGGCCTTGTTAAGAAAGCAGCTGTGTATTTTAAAATCCCTTCTCCCCTCATTAATTGTTCTTTTGTCAGTTAAATAGTTATAGTTACATAAGAAAATACAAAAAAGCACAACGAACAGTATTTTAAAAAATCACTCTTAACCCCACAATCAGAAAATGACATGTATGAACTTCAGAGATCATACTCTACATGCTATTTTATAATCTTACTTTTCTTTATATAAAATATGAATAATATATTTTCATTCAATGAAAGTTCTTCTCAACTTGATTTTCAATTATTGCATAATAATATTTCATGCTGTAGCTGTCCGTAGCGTAACCCCCAATTGCAGAAGGCAGGATAGGTAGATAAAGAATAGGGTCTGAAGCAGACATCCTACTTTTTTCTACCTGTGACCATGGCAACATTATGTACTCATCCCATTCTTCAGACTCCTCACCCATAAAACAGGGATAACAATTTACCAGCTTTATATCAGGTACTGTGAAGATGAAATAAGTTATTATACATGGTATTTAAAACAAAGTACTTACGATAATGCTCTCATATATTCTATCATTAGAGCATTATTATTCTATTATCATCTATCATTCCATTTTTTTTTAATAGAATAATTACCTGGTACATGGTGAGCACTCAATAAACATTTGTTACTACCTGTATTGTTTTCAGCTTTTTAATGTTATAATACTGTGTAGAATATCATTAAAGAAAAAAGGCTTTTGCTCCTCTCATATTATTTCCCTAAGATAAATTTTTAAAAGTAGAACTACGTCTTCGGTGCTTATTGCTAAATCACCCTCCATAGAGGGTGTACTGGTGTCCTCTCTGCAGCCGAGAGAAAACTGCCCCACAGTGAGTGGTTCCTTCTGGGAGTGCATTGTGGTAGAAAATGGCAACCGCCCATGTGAGGATTTTTGCAGTTCTCCAAAATCATTGAATATCAAACATTTGGGATTTATTCAACTTACTCTTCCTTTTTAATATTGATATAGTCTTCAGGCAAAAATATGTTCGCTTTTTGCATGCCTAGTATTTTAGTCTGATTTTTGCTTGAGAAGATACTAATATTGGTATGAAAATTTGACTGTATTTTTAAGATTTTTTTTCCATTGAAACGAATATTTTTTTATTTTCAAGAAAAAAGCAACAAGCCATGGGAGCAGTCAACCCTCCAGAACCCATGCTGGTGGAACAGCTCCAGCCACCAAGGTCAGTCATTTCCTGAACATGAAAAGACCCCTACTCTAAGATGTATAATTAGTGAGTGGGGCCTATAGGGAAGGCAAATGGTGTCCATATATCACTGAAAGTTTCTGAACACAGAATTGTTTCTGGGCTGGGGTTGGGGGATGCAATTTCTTAATAATGATTTGAATGATTTAAAACCTAGTAAAACCATTGTGTTATACCTTTTATTGGCATATAATAAGTGTCCAATAAATAATATTTTCATAAATATCTATAAACAATATTGTACTTCTGCACATACTCTGAGTAGAAATATAGTCCTCCTACTTCTTCAGAAAATAATTCGAATTATCTTACTGAGCATTAACCACACCAGCTGTCTGCTATGTATGCTATATAATTATCCTATGTAATCTCCTCACAACTTTGTAATTATTATTCCTTTGTACCTGAGGAAACCAGGGCTCAGAGAGGTTAAGTAGCCTTGACAAGATCACAAAGCCAGTAAGATGGATGTAGAACTTGAACCGAGGTTTCCTGTTCATACAAGGTCCTCAACATGCTGGACCTCATTGAGCATTTTTTGGTAATATAACACTTCAAAGCTTTGCCACTTATAAAAATCACTGAAACATCGCCTTTCAAGACAAGAAACCACAATTTTAAGCAGTAGTTTTTAATATGTAAAATAGTTATGTTCAGCCCATTTCACCTTGTGTTCTTCCAGTATATCCAAGATTATGAAAAACTTTAACCTATTTCAGTATTGTCTACACAACCATTTTAAATAAGCATTTTTCCTTTAAAACTGGTGGCTCTCCTAAGGCAGTCTGTGGACTTTCTTATGTGGGTTACTTGCTTGGTGAAGAGTTAATATTTTATTGCCTCCCAGAGCCCTGGCTGCTCTCCAAACCCTCGAAAGGTGCCAAAACCAAAACTCAGCTGAGAAATGAGAAAAGGCTAGGCACAGAAGTAAACACCATCATGGCTAAAAAAGATTTTTCCAGACATGCTCCTTCTTTTATGATATTAGGACCTTTAGTCAACTTATACTTAAATTATGTCTCTAAAAATGAGAGAAGCCTCATCGGCAAAACCTCAACCCAATGAGATTTACTGAATCATTTGTAAATGGTTTCCAAAATTGTTAGTACCTAAACTCTTGGAAAGTCTATACAATGTGGAAAACCATGCTCAGTTTTTTTCTTAAGTTAGTCATGAGAAGCAGTACCTTTTTTATATTTTTTTCCACACAGGAAGTTATCATCCAGTCATTAGGAGTTGGAATGGTTATAAAGAATTTGAACTTCTTCCCCATAGCCTGCTGTAGCTCAAGAAGCTGAGGGAGGGGCATAGCTAGGAGGTGAAGATGGTTTAGCCACATGTTTATTGTTTTAGTACTTAATGGCAAATGTGACATTCTTTCCTTGGTTTCTAAAACACTGTCCATTCCTGCCTCCATACTTCTCTTTCTTGTTGCTCTTTCTTGCTACGGTTTCCTGACTCACCAGTTTTCTGAATATTAGTTATCCCAGGGTTTAATTTTACACTCCTTCCTTTCCCATATCTTTCTCTTACACAATATTGAAAGAAAAAAATATATGTATATAATACACTTACTTATTTCTTCTTTAGATGCCAGATTTAAAGGACTTTAACTCAGTATCGTCATCACTTAAAAAATAATAATCATTCCCATGCATCATTTAGAAAAGCTGAGGCTAATAGCATTTGTGACACTTGAAGCCTTTTATTATATAAGTAATTATCATAACACACACAGGCAAAATAATATTCTCTCAACACGTTCAGGAAAGGTATAACAAAATAGTAGGTACAGTCAGACATGAGAATTATTCCTGTTTTGGTTTTTTTTGTTTGTTTGTTTTTTGATTCTGGACACATTGAACTTGAAAGTTAAAATAAGTGATAATTCACAGTTATTAAGAAAATCAACTCTGTGTTAAATATTAAATTTGAAGCTTGTGTATAACTAAAATAGTTACCTTGTATTAGAGAACTGTTTTGTAAGAGTTCTTGCAAAATAAGTAATTATGTACACAAATAATATCACTTTTTCCATAAAGTACTCCTCTTGGAAGATCTAAAACTCTTAAGTGGCATAGATATTTCTAACTCAATTATTGTAAGATGTTTAGTGCTTAAAATTAATTTTTAAATAATAATGAGGCTGCAGGAATTACATAGCTTCATATTAAAGCCAATGTGAAAATAGTTGTGATCTATAATCAGTCATGCAATTTTAAGACTGGAAAAGTTCTCAGGTAACTTCTATTGTAACCACCTCCATGTTCAGATGAGGAAACCTAGGTTGTATCTGCATTAGGATTCTCTCTGTAGAAGACCACAGCTATTTAGAAGATATATGGGTCAAAGTCATTAATCCCAATTGGAATCCATTCTGATTAGTTCAAGCCAAAAAAAAAAAAAAGAATTTAAGGAGAGCGGCTAGCTGGTAGAGAAATCCAGAAGGCTTCGGCAGAAGTAACCTAAAGTTTCACAGCCAGAAACAATGCCCAGCCACACTGTGGGAGCTTCTGCTGCCACCACAACTCAGCACTATCACATTTAGGACTGGATGGCAGAAACTCTGCAACTGCCAATCTTGGAGATAGTCAGGCCTTATCATAACACAGATTTCCCAGTGGGCAGTGGCCTCTTGACACTGCTCACTTCTAAGCTCATTTTTTTTTGGGGGGGGTGCACATCTGACCAGCCAACACAAATCACATGCCTCAGTCTTGCTATGAGGCAATCTGGGGGTTGTGAGTGTTTCGGATTCTAATTTAGGAAGGTGTGTGTTGATTAGGTTGGAAATCATCAATATGTAGTGAGCATTTGCAAATGTGTGGTCAGCAAATATGTGATACTGAGTTAAAGACACTACTACAGAAAGGAAAACAGGGGAATTACCTAATTGAATTGATGGGAAATCATTGATAATAGGTTGTTTAGCAACATTAGGCCTTCTAAACAAAAGTTACAAACAGCTTTTCTCCCCAGCTAGAGGAGACAAGATCTGTGAAGGAATAAGTACCTGTCAGAGAAATACTTTGTGATTTTGATCTGCAATAAAAAACTGTGTTAATTTGGCAACAGATTGACAAACAGTTTTTTATTGATCTGCAATAAAAAACTGTGTTAATTTGGCAACAGAGCTCTTCTCTCAGGTGCTTACTTTTCTCATCTGTAATATGAATGAGGGGCTAGATAAAGTCTTTGTATATTGTGGACGGTATTCCTGCATGCGATGTCAGCCTCACCCCACAGTGTCCTTGGACCACCTGTGATTTGTGAAATGACTGTGTGTTAAACATGGAAGCATTTTTATTTTAATAATTTAGCATATATTTTAATGTACTAGAAAAAGCGAACTATCACTTCAAACTCATGATCCCAGTTTTGCTTAAGACAAGGCTAGATAAGAGGTTAAAAAATAAATATGTTTTTAAAAAATACTAAGTAAATACAGTAAAATTATTGCAGATTAAAAAATATAGAGAATATGCAAAATTTGGGAAACAAGATCCAGAGCAGTAATTCTCATATTTTAATTTGCATATTAATCAGTAGGATTTTTAGTATAATGAGGATTCTGATTCAAGAAGTCTGGGGTGAGGCTGAGATTCTGCTTTTCTAACAAGCTCCCAGTTAATGCTGATGCTGCTGGTCTGGCAACCACACTTTGAGGAGTAAGGATGTTGAATTGTGCTGCAAGTGGAAGTTTAGACTACTTGTGCCTTGGATGACCTAAACCTTGATTAGAGAATCTGATTAAAATGCGGATTCTCAGGTTCCAAGCCAATAAATTCTGACTCGCCGGGGGTGGGTAAGGCCCGAGATTTTATATATTTAATAGCTTTCCTCAGGTGTTTCAGATACAGATGATATAAGGACCACACTGGGAGAAAGGATGAGCCTCAGAATATCAGGGTGTGCCAATGTCCCTCTTCATCTCTTAGGAAAGGAGCCACTTCCTGTCTTACAGGATCCAAATCTTTGGAAAAAGTATCACATAACATGTAATTACTCATCTGTACTCTTCAAGAGCAATGAAGTACTTGCCTTCATTGAGGGAGATAGATATGCTGCCTAATATTTGGGACTGTGGGACCCAGGGCTCATTCCTATTGGGGTGTGGCCCAAATAAGTCACCCCGTGCTGTTTTTGTCACAGAAGAAATGATTATCAGTGAAACCTAGATGAACTGAGGTTTAGTTTAAAAAAAGAAGAAAAAAAATATTAGCAGTGAATTAAAAAGGAATTTTTAAGCTATATTTTGATCAAGAAGAATAAAAAGACAGGGTCTTCTGCTCAGGAAATTATAAAATATTAGAATTGGAAAGGCTCCTACTTCCCCAGTTTTATTTAACAGAAGTAGATGAAAAATGAAAATAAATAAGGTGGCTATGAGGAACAGCACCTTGTGGGAAAATTCAGAGGGACCCCACTTGCTCTGACTACCCAGTGGATGTTGGGTACAAAGCTGTGCAGATGAGATGAGCTCCCTGTCTTCTTAATGCCAGCTGGCCATCACCTCTGCCTTGGCTGGTTGCAGCACTGAGTCATTGCTCAGTTGTCACTAGGTGCGTCTGAGGTCTCTGCTCTTCGTCCACTGACCATCATCACGTCCTCCACTCACACCCCAAGCTTAGAGTCCAGCGTCTTTATTGTCATTGGTTTATAGCATTGAGAGAAGCTGGCTTTTCATATTTCTTTTAAAATTTCATTACGTTTTTAACCCTATCATTCATTTTGTATTTATTCATTGGTATTCTTCTCTAAGAAAGAGCATTTCCTTTCTCTTTATTTACATATTCATTCATTTATTTGTAGCAGTATGGACTCATGAATTCTTATTTTATTCAGTGGATTAATATCCATTCTATTTATTTTTAAATTTTTAGTCATAATGTAAAATTCAGTAAAATTATACTGTTAAACTCCTCTTTAAAAAAAAATCTTTCGAAATGTATTTTCAAATCCTTGGTGGTGGTCAT